GGGTGTGGTCCAGGTATACATTACATTGTCGGGACCAATGTCCCCACAATGTCATAAGAACCTGTAATTCTGATGTTGTGGGGACCGTTTTTCGGAGAAATTCAGTTTTATAAAAATCTGTGAGTTTGTCATTGTTGGGATTAGGGTTTTGCCCCTAGAAATGCTGTGTGTGTGTGTGTGTGTGTGTGTGTGTGTGTGTGTGTGCATGTGCTCCAGAGCTGGCTGTCAAGCTGCTGGACATAGAAGGACTGATCCGAGCCTGTGTGGCCCTTTGTGTGCAGAGGTGCTGCTAGAGATTTTTGGTCCAATGACAGCATATTATATTGGGCCCCCAAAAAGGACCAATCAAATTATATTCTGAATTCTTTGGGCTGGGGGTGGCATGGCGGTGCAGTGTCTAGCATTGTCATCTCACATCTCTGGTACCAAGGTTCCAGTCTCCACCATGGTTCCATGTGTGGAGTTTACATGTTCTCCCCATGTCATCATAGGGTTTTCTCCAGGTACCCGGGTCACCCCCCCCCCCCCCCCACAGCCCAAAACATGATGAGGTTAATTGGACTTACCAAATTGTCCATTGGTGTGCGTGCTTTTGTGAGTGAATGGTGTGTGAGAGTGCGCTGGAACCCCGGCCTGGATCGTTCCCTCCATTTTGTCAGGACAGGCTCCAGACCCTCACAACCCTGACTAGGATAAGCAGTTACAGAAAATGGATGGATGGATTTTTAGGGCCCCTGGCACTCGGAAGCCCTGTGAATCGTCCACCTCCCCCTCCCCCCCTTTACAGTGCCTCTGGTTGTGTGTCTCTGTTTGTATGTGAAGACAAGGCTATCAGTAAGGCTATCAAGCAGTGATTCGCCTCTTTGGGCAGATCCCCATCCCTGGCTCTTTTAGCATCAAACGTCTTCCTTCTTGGACTTAATAATGGATAATTCCAATAGATAATTAACTTTCTGCCTCTCCAAATAGGTTGGATTATTCTAAAGGTGGCTGCGAGATTTGAGATCATTTTCTCTTTATATATTTTTAATTACTCATAATTTTAACATGTAAATAATTAACATTGTAATTAACATTTCTAAAAAAATCTATCTTTTCTTCACAGGAGAAAACTCCATAGTACTGCATTAATTTTACAGAGGTAATGAGACTACTTTGCTCCAAATTCTGATTGTTGAATTTGTTTTTCTGTGAACATGGTGGAGAATGTAAGTGTGGTTAGGCTGAAAGAGAGGGGGTGTCCAAAAATGTAAATAACAGCAGAGGGGGACCAGCCTGTCCCCCAAATGTCAGACTGACCAAGCATTGTTCGTTATATATTGACCAGCACTCAAGGGCATTTTCAGTTATTTTTACACTTATACATGGGAGAATCGTATTTCAACGTTTTTCAGACACGTCCTGACTAGGTGCTGCTGATTTTACTATTGACACCTGGTGTGACGGCCGATCAGCCTCAAACATCCCAGCGTCCCCCCTACCTCCTAAATCCACAGGCTCTGCATGAAAACAAACAGTTGATTGAAGCTGCCAGCATGAATGGATTATCTATGCATTAGTTACTTCTTTGAAATTATAATTACAGTCCTGGTTAATTTCAAAGCAAGTCTGTTCAGCTCCCTATGTTGTGTTTTAACTATTTTTGTGAAGCTTGTGACTAATAAAATGTTTCAGGTATAAGTGATATTATATGCTGTGTACAAAATCACATTTCACATATAGCCCAGCATTTTGTGTCAATGATTAATGAAAGTGCCTTTACAATTCATTGATGTCCTGTGAAGCTTAGAACTGAAAATGGAAAAAGAAGAATTTAAAAAAAATACAGCATACCTTATGTGTCCTTTCCTTCATCTGAATGCCAATAAAAGGCACCAGTAACAAAGGATCACCAGCATCCTTGTCACAATTGCAGCAAAAGCTTGACTTCAGAAGCCAATTTTCAAACGTTTTGAAGTTTCCCCAAGATTGATCCTTTAGGTCGCCTCGCATTAAACTGCTGTTTTGACTTAAGGAAAAAGCTTCCTTGCCTCTCCATGCACTCTGCAATGCTTTCGCGTTTACACTCCATTATGTTCTCTTGGCTTTTATAAAGCACACATTATTGTAGGATGTTTTTTACTGGGGAAATAATTTCCTGAGGTCTTATTTTTTCTGCAACAATATATAAAAAAATCAAACACAAATCAAACATAAAATAAAATTCAAATGCTGCAATCATTTTTGGAGGACTGTAGTAGAGCTCAGTAAAAGCAAACAACTTTTTTTTTGACTGGACAAGCCAGGTAAACAAAAATGATTACTGGAGGCTTCCATTAAGGTTTTCTTAATTTGAGGCCAAAATATGATATAGAGTGGGGCTAGTTTAACATACCACTCTGTGAACACTAACAGGAGACAAAGGTGTACATTTGGGTATGGACAGTAGGGACATGTCCTAACCAATGTTGTGGGAGTACTGTATGTGTTTGAGGATGAGGGCTTTGGGGCTGTTGAAACCCAGCCTACGCCCTTGACAAGGAGGATTAACTCCACATTAGCTAGCATCCTATCACTTTATGGATATTAACCTGCTATCATTTATATTTCCTCTCCATTGACATGGTTCTCCTGCTTATTATCAGTGTTCAGAGATTACTGGGGCCTCCCCCCACTCTCCACATATATAGACTAGAGGGTGCATCTCAAGAATTTCCCACCAAGTGTAGGCCAAACATCAAATAAATGAAGATTAATTCACCTTTTTTTTGCATTTCTCTGCTGCACAGTGTTTTTGTCAATGAAAGCTATGATTTGTAGGGGAAGAAATGATCTGTACCTTGAAGGTGACTCAGTGCTCAAAGTAAGTGCCCTTTTATTAGGGCTCTGAATGAAAAAAGGATAGAGTATGACCTAAAAAAAAAAAGATTAAAATCTGTGAACTTTTCAAAGAAGCATCAAGTATTAGGAACGGTTTGGGAACTCCCTACGCGTTATTTATTTATCATATCTGTAGTTCAGATTTTTCAAAAACATGGCTTATATGTATTTTTTCCATTGTACAATTTGGGTTTGAGATTTTGGTTGGGTGTTCATGAGTTTATAGACAGTTTATTAATGTTTACCATCGCAGAAATGCTGGAATTGCTTTCAGAAAATGTTTAGTGTTTGTATCGGAAAGTATCTATTGTTTTATTTTTTGGTAATGTTTCAGGGCTGCCACCATGGAAACTGTGGCGCAATCAACTTTCAAGCCAAGGTTCTGCATCACCGCCGATGCATGAGGAGGCGGGCCGTAGCGAACGAGCTAAGCACCCTGTAATTGCCGTCACAAGACTGACAGTCACCTGACCCAAATCAAATCGACACAAATTAAGCTCACTTGAATGAAAAGTTTGATAAGTAGCTGACTGCAACATTTGTAAGGTGAAAATATAAACCTTGCCATCCATCGATTTTCCATAGGCCTAACCACTAATCTGGTGCAGGATTGCTGAGGCTATCCCAAGAGGTGTGGGCTACAAGCCGCATACCTCACAATTCACTTAAGCAGTGTGTTTTTGGACAGTGGGAAGAAGACAGGGCACCAGATGAAACCCACACAAACATGGTGAGAACATGTAAACTCCAAACACATACAGACCAAAGACAGGAGCCCAACCCACATCCCTGGAGGTCGCAGATTGCAGTGCCGTGAGGTGCGATACTACACAAAATTCATGTTTTTAATATGAAAATGACTCAATAAAATATTTCCTATTTCTGCCCAATAATTTTCCGATTGCTTTCATTCTCATTTCCTGTGTTTTTTTCCTGCCAAATACACTAAAATATCTGCACCTAATCACTCTTAAAATGTACAGATTGTATAAAATGCAATATGAGACAGATAGCTAAGTAGCCAAGATCTGAGAAATTATTTATTGTTATAATTATCATTAGAGGAGGTAATACAAAAAGAACAGGAACACTTGTACTGATAGCGAAAGCAACTCCCTCATTCTGCTTAAATAGCACACTGCACATGCACTACAGAGCAGCAGCTACAACCTTTTGAACAGGAACAATCAGTCCCTATTCCAGAGTCTTTTCACGGTACCCCTGCGAGCATGTACTCGGCGTACAGTTAAGCTGAAGGGGGATCCCCTTTCTCGCACCAGGCAAGGTCGGGCCGGCTAGCGTCGCCCTGCATTGTGAGCAGGCTGCTCTGGCGCCGCCCATCCCCCACGCTCAGAAGTTGTGGTGCTTCTGCAACCGGTGAAGCTGCTGTTAGAGCGGGGCGGGCGAGCGGCGAGAATGGGTAGAGGGGGATGGGGAGAGAGGAACGCGAGATGGGAGGGAGCGAGGGTGGGAGGAGCGCTGAAGGTGGTTTATTCTGGTGTACTTATTTCTTTTACAGTTTCATAAAATGACTTAAAGTGTTCTGGCCTCGCATTCAAATCACAATTAGAACATTTTAGACCATCCTCAGCAGAATTTGCGTTGTTAATTCTAGCTGTCTCTATAGCTTATTCGGTTCATTTTTTCCCCTCTCCTTCCTTCTGTCTTTTTTCGTTCTCACTTCCTGCTTGCTGACTGGTTAAGTCCACCCCCTTCCCTTTTCTCTCTTTTCCTTGCTCGCTCTGCCTGTAATTCCATTCTTTTTTGCCCTCCACAGCTTCTAGCCTTCTGCTGACACGCTCATGCCTTTCATTTCCTCACAGCACAAGCATGGAAATGCGCTGCCGCCCAGAGACGGTTTCCCTCCCACTTGTGTTGATGAATGGTTCACAAATCCCCCTGCAAATGCACGAAGTCATTAGAAATAGTTGAAAAAAAATAACAGTTAATATAAATGCTAGGATACATTATACAATATATATATATTTATTTTTTTTATTTGATAACAAAACATTTCCAATTGTCGTTTTTCGTCTTATTATATTTATTTAATATAAGTCACGAGGTGTATTTATTTAAAGACTTCCTGATCAGTCTGAAAAAGGCACCGTCGCTGCTTTCACAAGCGATAAAAGTCACTGGTGCCTTTGGAGCGCTCCTGCAGTCCGGCTCCCTGCCCTCCCGGCGTACGCACCGTGTTTTGCGTCTCACCACGCGCCTCGGTAAAATGGCTGTATCTCACGGAGCCTCGTGCTGGTTTGATCAGTTCCTCGCTCTCAGTCTCGCGCTGTAACAGAACCCCCTTCAAATTCCGTGTCGGTGGAAATCGTCCCCGGGATTGTATTTATATTTTTCCGTAGCCAACAATTTCACGCGGAAAGGAGAGCGGGAACCGGATTCTGTCCGGTTCTTGGGGGAATGAGCCGAGAAGCGGGTAAATTGTTATAAAATTGTATTTATATTCAATGCTATTCAGTGTGTGATTGTGACTGAGTCGCCGTGAAAGAGAGAGAGAGAGGGGGATATCATGGCCGCTCAGGTCGCTAGCGCCGCCACTCTCAACACCAGTCCGCCTTCCGAGCTGAAAAAACCGGATCGGGACCCGCAGGAGGAGCCGGTACCGGGGGAGAAGCAACAGGAAAATAAGGAACCGGGATCCGAGAGCGGATCCCCGGGTCAGAAGGACCTGCAGGACGGGGCCGATGCTGGAAATGCGGGGGGAGGAGGGGATCCTGAGATGAAGAACGGCAACGGGAATCCGTCCAGGGTGAATAACAACAATAATCAGAATGATTCAGGGGCACCGGACGGGAATAACCACCCGGGGATGGCACATCAGCACTCGTCGGCGTTTCCTCCACCTTCTTACGGTTACAGTCAGCATTACGGCCGGCTCCCTTTTCATCAACATGGCGGACAACAAAGCCCTGGCATGGCAGCGGCAGCGGGGTCGGCCGTGCAGCCGGGCGGCATGATGGACTCGTATCAGCCCAACTCACAGGAGCACGCCTTCACCAACCACCAGTTCAACAACTACAGCCCGTTCCCAAACCGGACTCCGTACCCGGGCCCGGGCTACGCCATGAACTCGCCGCGACACGGCCAGCCTCCGGCGGCTGGGGGGCAGCCAGCCAAGCAGCAGCCAGCGGGAGGAACTACAGCCATGGCCGCTTCGTACAACACTCAGCGATACAACGCCACTCCGACCCTCAACCAGCTGCTGACCTCTCCCAGCTCCAACCGGGGCTACCAGAACTACCCCAGCGGCGACTACAGCAACCAGGAAGGGGCGAGCAAGGGACCGGGTGACATGGGCAGCGGGGGCCAGTACGGCGGGGGCCACCAGAGCTGGCAACAAAGGAGCCATCACCCGCCGCCGGTAAGCCCGGGAAGCACCGGGCAGCCCTTAAGCAGAAATCAGGTAAACTTTCATCTACACCTCGGTCCCGCTGAACTTTCCGTGCATTTTGCACACCGAGTCCTCGTAACGAAGTGTAACATTGCAGCAGACCAGCCATTGTCTATCCCAGACTCTCTAAAATGGCTGCCCGTGTGTGTGTTTTTTTTTTTAACCCGTACCTCTTCGTTTTAACTGCATTTATCGAGTAAAATAGCTTATTTTTCTTTTCCAGTGAGCTGTGTTTTCTAGGGCTGCTGTAGCCGTGCGAGCGGTGGGTGGTTAGGGGTGCAGCCGCGTGTACTTTAAAAAAAAAAGGTGTAAAATAATACCGCGGTGTAATTCGTAGATCTGCGGGTACGGGCGCATTAAAACGTCTTACTTGAACGAAATAGAGATTCTTTTTTCACCGACCACCACGCTAGTTATTCACTAGTTAAGTTTTAATCACGAGAAGATCGTTCAGTCTGAGATTACGTGTTGACAGGTTTGTTTTTAATTTAATTGCCCATTTGCATTATTTGTGGGGGGTGGGGGGGAAAGTTCCAGGGAGGTTTGCGAGGCCTATTCAAGTGTGAAGGATCTCCGTAGACTTTCAGATGTGCTCACTTTAATTCCAAGTGCGTCCGTGCAACTAGTTTTATCACACAAATAGCGAATCGTGCCTTTTTTCATTTAATCCCGGCCGGCGTGTGTCGGAACAGAGGTCTGTGATTTGATTCCTGTGTGCCCCGATGCCGTGGAACCTCGCCGTCGCTGCCAGTAAACATTGGCCAGCGATTTGAGTATGTGCAGATAGCTTTGCTTTGGGATTTGAATTATGGAGGTAAAATGCTCCTGTCAAAGGCAGGAGACAGTTGGTCTTAGGTTGACATGCTAGCTGAAAGCTGATTGGCTCGCCATCCTCCGCTTCTGGCCATTTATAACTGCATCTGATGTAATGCAGCAACGATCCGCGATTAGCTCGCGTGCGTTTACTCTGTGAACATAACAGAAATAAACAGACAAATCGTTAATTGAAGTTAAATCGCAGTGTGAATAAATACTAAAGTGGCAGACTAATTCTAGAATCAGTGTCATTTATTAACCAGAGAAAGCCACGGTCGCTATCCGGGCAATATTAAGGCAAAGGAGCATGCAATTCTATCATAATGAATATTTAATATTTCAAATGTGACTCTTCTAAGAAATACCACACATTTATCATTCGATTTTAGTGTTTTTGCAAACTCTTAGGCCTTGTACATAGTAGTAACAATATTTATTTGAAATGTGGGAATGTGATATTTTGTTGCTTTCTGGGTCTTTGTCATTTAATTGGAATAATAAATGCAAGTATTTGTCTTTTGTGAAGTTGCTGTTTTAGTAGAAATACGCTCTGATATAGAATACCCATAGAGTGCTCTACATGAACGCTAAATTGATTACTTCTGGTGAATTTACTGGTGTGTAACTATCCATCTTCCATGCACTTATCCTGGTCAGGGTAATGGTAGGACCTGGAATCTATCCCAGGCAGTACAAGACACAGGGCTGGCGTATACCCTGCAAGGGGTGCCAGTTTATTACAGGGCACATGCATGCAAGTATTACCATCAATTCAGAGTTTCTGATTAGCCTAATTACATGTCTTTGGATTGCAAGAGGAAGCCAGAGTGCTTGCAGGAAATTTCACACACGCAGAGTGTAATTCAGACCCCTTTTAGGTGTGCAGTTAAAGTTTAATATTGGCCTGGCACCTTCGATTGGTTTCGCAATTATCATTCAAAGTATTTTTACTTTTGATAACCGTCTTTGTAATTTATGCATTGAAAGTTGACTTGTCATGAAATATAATTCAGGGACAGGACATGAGTTTTAGGATGGTTCTTAGGCAGTATGAGCCCTTATTGCTGCATTATATCGAAGTATTGCTATAAGCACAAGTTTATAGAAAATGAGAACAATAATGGTGGTAATGAACTTAATTCATTTTACAAAAGTGTATATCAGTTTATTTGTGATGCAGGAATGGCAGGAGTTATATGGAATGACCAATGTATTTTAAAGAGGTCTGTGCAGTTTCTGGTAGCTCGGTACAAAGGTTTTGTGATCAGAGTGAAATCTGTGGGTTGGCAGCACTAACTGCCAACAGTGCTGTATTCAGGGGTAGAACTGGCAGTGCCTGGACCAGTTCCTTTCGTCTTCATCAGAGGTTGACCTTTCAGGGGTTTGACCATGGCTTGTTGTAATCTGTCTACTGCCTGCACATTCTACCTACTTATGGAATCTTATTGGTCTCCTTGTAATGTTTCAGTTCTGGTGCAGTGTGGCTGATGTGCAGTGTGGCTGATGTGGGCTTCTCGCTCTTGATATTTAATAAGGCACTTTAGTCGCTCAGGGCTGCTGCCCATCCTTAATTTGTACATTTGTGTCTTGCTGAATGTGTCCGCAACACGCATTCCTGACTATTGCTTTTAAACATTTGCTATGACCAGTGATTCACCAAGAAATTTCATTTTGAGAATTTGTCCAGTATTTTAGGAAATCGATTTGGAGGTGTGTCTAGGAATTTTCATGCTGTTTTAGTGACTCGGGCATATAACAAAGTGCACCTATGCTGAAAGCACATTGTTGTTTAGTCTTATTATTTGATGGGTAGAATAGTCAGGACACTAGGGTAGAGGCCCCTGGAGGTTCCTTGGGATGTTACTTTTGCATCTTTTGTCCACTTTCTATGATTGTGTGTAGGGCTGCAAGATATCAGATCTCGATATCGCGATTGTATGCCACATGTGCAATAATCACAAGGGTTTTAGATGGGATTTTTAAGACATTTGTCTGGATTTGTGTGCATATGCATTAACAGTCCTGTTTGCAACTTTAAATGACAAGCATTAATTTGCCTCTCGAGGGCAAATCCATACATTCAAATTCAGTTTCTGTGCTTCTCTTAATTCCTACTCCTGTGTCAGCCAGGAAAATGCCTTGGGTTGCATCTGTTAGCCGGGGCACAGCCGAGACCTTGTGCTGAGTGCATGGTGTGTCATGGCCAAAATGCCTGCACCTTTCTCTCTTCCTCCTCACATGAAATTGTCCTGATGCCGCTTACAATTCCCCCCAGCATCTTCATGGATGCCTATGTCCATCTAGAATCTTCAATGAGCCAGCCTTTTCCCCCAGAACAGGCAGAAACATGTATGTGAAGGTCTCTCTTTGTGATCTCTCTACTGCGGTGCCTCTTCCATCAAAGCTCATGTGCTCATAGCGAGCCAATCTGACATAGCAGTCGGTCTCTGTAAGCCAGTAGCGCCACGTTGGATATTATAAATAATGCCAGAAGTTATATGGCTAAAATTTATTGATTTATTTTATGCTGAGGCACTTGATGGGTCATCTCTGCTAATACAGGGACTCAGTCGATGTTGTCAGTGTTTTGAGTGGATAGAAGTGGGTGAGTGGGGTCTTATCTGCGAGTCGCTTATTTGTGGCAGCTTTGTTATATCACAGGCACTTTGATTGTCATGTCGTTTGTAAGAGAAACTCCCTCGGTTTCCTTTTAAATATGATCACACTGTCATATCGATTTTGTGCTGTATTTTGAAGCCTTCCCGATGTATCATATCGATGTATCGGTGCAGTGTAATTCCCCTCCCCCCACCCCCGCTGTAAGGCCTGTCAGCCCCTTCCAGGCTGTTTGTTCTGGGTGTCGCAACAGGTAGCATGTCCACTTCGCTTGGAGTGATGATGTAAAGGCCACACCCCCCCCAAGCCATCATCAGTCTGTGCTCTCTAAATGAGTGTGAGGTTTGGTGTCACAAACCCACAGTTGAAGATATTCTGGATGATAAAATGATGTGCTGGTTTACTTTTCCATGCTTCTGTTTATTGCTCCTCCTACCCAGTTTGCACTGTTAGTGTAAGATCTCCAAGCGTTTAGTGTAAACCAACATTAAGCTGGGGATCAAATTTGTTGTTAATGAGATTTCACATGATTGTCAGTTTTGTTTGTTGGGAATTGTAGAAACCGCATACATCAGTTTTGGTCCTATATGTAACAGGTTGTAACTGCAATTCTGTTTGCTGTTTTGACAATGCGGTGTAATCCCAGTGCGTCTAGCACTTAAAAAGTGTAGCAAATGTAAAGTTGAGAACCATATGCAAACCAGGCTTGCAATGTGGCTTCTGATATATAGATATAGCTTCTGAATTGGGACTTTGCATTGTTTTCACTCTCATTGAACGCCGCTTATTTGCAACCGGCCCCTGATTCCATCCAAGCTGGCCATCAAGAACTCAGAATCGTGACACAAAGCTGGAGGTTGAAGTTCATGCCATTTTACCCAGAAGAGCACTTCAATTGCATTTTAGCCATTTGTGTTATCTATCAGTGTTCCAACTGATTATTCTGGGCACGAAGCTCCAGAGCCTATGCTAGGCAGGCAGGGGTAACACCCTGGATGGGATGCCAGGCCATCGCAGAGTGCACGCATGAACGTGCTCGCGCAACAGGCAATTTAGTAATAATAATAACTAGTGTACTATATTTTGCACGTTGCTGGTATTGTGTGTGTGTGTGTGTGTGTGTGTGAGGATGTACAAATCAGTCAAAAGGGATGTCTGTTTTTGACTCCCCAGGAAAAACAAGTATGTTCCTCAATCCAGGTAATGACCTTTTGGTTTATGTGTTTGTAAGGCTGTTTTTTTACCCTTATACTAAGAGACAGTGATTTGATTTCAGTAATCTTCGGTCTCACCTGAGGGCCTATTTGTAGGACTGTCCCAGTGCTTTGGTGCTTGAAGTCCTTGTTTTTTGATTAGTGTACTGCTGGATGTTAAAATGCGAAACAGAATATTTTCAACTGTATAAAATCAGCCAGTGAGTTTGGAATTTGATGTTTTGGACATAGTCATTCTAATACCTTTTAAAGTGTGTTCAAACGCTGCTTCAATATTTGAGTGGCGCACATTTCATTGCATACATTTAATTTGTTCAAATCAATTTAACTTTTGTTCTTGCGTATCACTTTTTGTACATTTTTGCT